ATAACTCAGTGGAAAAACAATTCAAGACTAATAACCCAGTAGAAAAATAGTGTAAATAGTTTACAGAAAAAGAAATACAAGGTCTTCAATCTCATAAGAATATGCAAATGTGAAAACCACGCTAAGATGCCATTTTTTCACCTGTTACATTGCAAAGTTTAAAAGTTAAATAACTTACTAAAGGTATGAGGAAACATAGCTTGCTGAAGGAAGAATAAATCAGTAAAGTCTTTTGGAGGGCAACTTGGTAATATCTAACAGAAATTAAATTCATATCTTTTGACTCTTGGAATTCAATTTTGGGGAAGTTTTCTACAGATTCCTGCATGTGGAAGATCATTTATGCCAAGGATATTAGTTTTAACATTATAATAACAAAAGCTTGGGAAAAAATCTAAGTGTCCTTAATTAGATTTAGATACATTATGGTACAGTCATGCAGTGGAATATTTATTTAGTCATAACAGATTAAGGAAGCTCTGTGTACAAATAGGAAAGACGTTCAAGATTCATTAGGTCAGAGATGTCCAACTTTTTCTTAAAGGGCCAGGCAGTAAATATTTTAGGCTATTCAGGCTGTGTAGTCACTGGGTACGACTCCGTTGTGGGACGCAGCATAGACAGTTTGTCTACGTGCACGACTGTGTTCCAGTAAAACCTTATTTACAAAAACAGGTGACTGGCCTGTGGGTCATAGAAAAACTTGGTATATAAACTATAACAGCGGTATGACGTGCTGAAATTATTGAGAATTGAATTCAATCCCCATGCCTGGGATATTTGGGAAAGACTTCAAAGATAATGTGATAATTTAAACTGAGTTTCTGTGGGTGTATAGGAGCTCTAAAGATTAAGGTGAGAAAGTATTTTCTAGAATTGGTGAGAAGTTATTTGATACATGGGAGTTCTTTGTTGAGAGTGGATGAAGAGGTAAACTGGGATATTTTTGAAGGGGCTAGACACTAAAGGGATTTATAACCCAGTTGTAGTTGGGTTTTTTTAAGATTTTATTTATTTATTTGAGAGAAAGAGCGCACAAGCAGGGAAAGGGGCAGAGGGAGAGGGAGAAGTAGACTCTCCACTGAGCAGGGAGCCCAACATGGGGCTCCATCCGAGGATCCCAGGATCACGTGAGCCGAAGGCAGATGCTTAACAAACTGAGCCACCCAGCCACCCCCCATTTTCTACTTTGAATACAAAATATTTCAACACCTAGCTCTGTTAAACCTTGAAATTTTGCCGTACTTACTTCATTCAGGGTTTTGTTTTGTTTGTGTGTGTTTTTTTTAATGTATTTTCTAAAAGAAACATTACAGATACAGTTGAAACCATGCCCTGAAAAGCTCAGTGTATTCTCTCCTTCCAGAGGTAACAACTAATATGAAGTTGTTACTCTGATCTTACCTTCCTACAATAACTACATGTTTATATACCTTTAAACAAAACATTTTATTGTTTATATTGTAAAAGCTCATAGAACAGGTTGTGGTGTCATTTCACAATTGGCTTTTGCTCAAAATTGTGTTTTTACTATTTCTCTGTGTGGATCAAGCACTGGTCAATGGAAATATAATGCAAGCCATATACGTTATTTTAAATTTTCTCATAGCCACATAAAAAGCCACAGGTGAAATTAATAATATACTTTAATAACCCAGTTTATCTGAAATATTATTTCAGCATAGTCTGTGAGATTATTAATGAGCTACTTTACATTCCTTTTTTATACTGAAATCCAGCATCTGTTTTGCACTCGCATCACATCAGACTAGCCACATTTTAAGGGTTCAATAGCCACAAGTGGTGAGTGGCTTTTATTGTACTGAGCAGAGAACTGCAGGAATTCAGACAGAACAGAACACTTCGAGTGCTTGAAAGTGTGCACACCCCTAACCGCCAGGGGTCAGCTAAGTGTCAGCTTGTGGACTCAAGAGAAGGTATTTTGTGTGTTGGAACATGCTAATCTGCAGCTGCAACGCAAAAACTATTCTGTGCGCGATAAAGGAAACCTCTCTAAGGAACCACATTTACTGCTGGTAATTGTTGGAGCACAGAATGTGGTACCAGCGTGGGCCACGGCCTGTTTAGATCCATAGGAGCCCCACATTCTGTCCATATAAGTATACTCTCTTTCTTCTTGCTTGTCTGGAATAAACTGTTGAAACTTTTCCTGCTGTTATCAGGGGTGTCACATTTGTAGTAAATATACTGCTTCTCCATAGTTGGACCTTAATAACTAGGTAAACTTGTCTGCTTACTTATTTTTGCTAAGAATCTCCAGCGGCACCATTTGAGTACTGAGCCAGATATTATATGCCTCTATTCCTGGTTTTCTAAGTTTAGCCAAGCTTAAAGTCACAGCACACTAAAGGTCTATATGTAGACTTTATTTCCCTTATTTTCCACAGAAAAACCTTCATAGAAATGCCCTAGAGTTAACATGCAGTCATAGCAGGAACTGCCTATTAAAATGCTTTATTTTTATACACATTATAATTAGAGGGACTTTCCATTATGCTGTTAATGTCCCTCATATAATGACCCAATGAAAAAAAAATCTGAGAACAAAAACTTAGGGAAAAATTCTCTCCATCGCCCTCATTCATAGCTTGATTTTTTCCTTTTTTTTTTTTTCCTCAATTTTGGGCATTTGTTTTAATGTGTCTCCTTTTGTGTGCCCACAGAAATTCTTTTGTCATAATATAGATAATTGATAGATCTATCATAATCCTTGCTAACTCTTAATCAAGGGCCTTGATAAACAGTCTGCATTCCTCTGCTTGATGACAACCTTTTAATAGTTTTATACAGCACTTTCTGCCACAAGGGGGGGAAAGAGTTCTGTGGGCCTGTTTGGGTACGGAGAATTTGATAGTAGCAGTCATAAAGTTAACTTTGCATAAGTTGACAAAAAAAATTGTCAGTACCATTATTAACACAACTTTGCCTTGGGGTTAGCATGATTTCTCATTTCTTCTTGGTAGTTTTTTACTCAGCTCATCAACCATCCAGATGTTATTAGTGATTATTTTTATGATTTAAATACTCTGAATTTACTTCTAAATCTTTACTTTTGTTGCATTACTTTGCCTTTTTTTTTTTTTTTTTTAATCTAAGGTGAGAACAGCCACTTGGGAAAAATGCATGTTTTGATGGGGCAAATGGGAACTGAGAAAAGAAAAGAGGTAATTCTGGGAGAGTACGGGTTTTGGTGGGTCTGATAGGAAGTGGAAGATGAGAGAGAGGCCCTGGGCAGGGTGCCACAGTGGCAGGTCCGTCATACAAAGGGTAGCATAGAGTACGGCCAGTAGCTTTTCAAATTCTCTTTCTAAAAATATATACTTTATATGCTTGTTAGATAACTGATACAGGTAGGTCTAAACCACATGGGAGGATGTTACCCATTCTCTTCATTAGAAATTTAATCAATTAAATCAATTAAAAATTAAAGTGTTCACACACAAACATTGTGTGTGATCTGAAATGAGAAGAAAGCATTTTATATGGCAGCTTGGCATCAGTTTGCTCATACCAAGTATTAAAGGATGTCTCCTAATCCTAATAAGCCTGTTGATCAGAAATCATTTTTTTTTAAAGACTTTATTTATTTGACAGAGAGAGAGCGAGAGCAGGAACACAAGCAGGGGGAGTGGGAGAGGGAGAAGCAGGCTTCCTGCCGAGCAGGGAGCCCGACATGGGGCTCGATCCCAGAACCCTGGGATCATGACCCGAGCTGAAGGCAGACGCTTAACAACTGAGCCACCCAGGCACCCCTGTCAGAAGTCATTTTTAACAAATTTTGGTTTATGTCTTACTGTATATTTAAAATTCACTAGTGAAATAAAGTAGACTTTGTTAAGGTTTTTATACAAATACATATATATTTAAGACTGGATGACCTGGGCCAAAATTGCCCTGTGACTGTATTTGTACACTGAATTTCCAAAAGCCCTGTAGTTCTGTTTGTTTCTTCTTGATTTCAGAGTGGGAAATGGCAGCGGTTACGATATGGGCCACTAGTAAAAAGCCCTGTTGCTGTTTGGAGCACACCAAACTTAAAGACCATGTAGTATAAAGATTTAAAAAAAAAAGAGAATTATCCACAGGGTAGATTTGGAAGTTGGTTATGATTTATGAACTAAATTTGGAGAATGCAGATAATAGTGAAATTCTTTGTAATTGATATGATGACAGCTGATTATACACATTTGCCTTTGGTTTTCTATAAGAATACCATTTTGGTTTCCTTAGGGTTATATTGATTGGCTGGAATTCCTGAGAAAGTCCCTTGCTTTGCTAAGGCTTTTTAGCCATTTGAAAGTGGATGGTGGATCTTAGAGTGAAGAGAATTTGTTTCTGTAGTGTGATGCCAATAAGTGAAGAGCAGTTGGGTTGTGAGTCTGTGATTTGGTGTGATGTACTTGCAATTAATTATGCTCAGTTAGAAGGCAAGTCCTCATTTTCCCCATGAGAATACCCTCCCTCCAAATTCTTTTGCCAGCGAAAATACGTAGGATCTTAAAGATATAACTAATGCATTAAAAATCTACATATATTTCATCTATTTAGTCACACAAACTGTTGTATTAGTTACAGAATTTAGAAATAATGTTTTGTTTCAGTGTCTCATGATAAAATGATTTTGTTCAATCTTTGTGTGTGCTGGGATCCCTTTGGGATAATTTGTCTTCTTGAGATAGTTGTTCAAGTGACAGCTACTATGGGGGTATGAGTGTCTTCTAAGTCTTTAGATATAAGGCGACTCCTTTTTTTCCTGAAAAGTATTTAGGGCATAAAACCCTCATCTGATATTTGAACATACGATAATTCCTCATGCCCTTATTTTTCATTTATATTTAGAAATATTTCTCAATTTTAAAAAGTCAATTTTGAGTGAGCTTATTCTTACTGAATATTTAAGTTTTTAGTTGTTAATGTGGATTTTGCCTTTTCTTTTTTTTCTTTGAGGGGTTGGACATAATTGCCTTATTTCATTTCAGGGATCCTTCTAAAGTAAATATTCTGGTACCTGGTGCTGGACTAGGAAGACTGGCCTGGGAAATAGCTATGCTAGGTTATGCTTGTCAAGGAAATGAATGGAGTTTTTTTATGCTCTTTTCTTCCAACTTTGTACTCAACAGGTATTTAATTTACTTTTTGCTGGAAATAGTAATTTCTCAGAATCAGATTGACTTACCTATTTTTGAACAATTCTGAATTTGAAGATAAATACAGAGTGTTTAATTATGATATATAATCATAAGTGTTTCTTATATTAAAATCGTTGCTTATACAAATTACCACTTTTAATTAGTTCTTAGTTAACAGAATGTTGAAACAGGATGGATAAGCGACTTTTTAGAAAATGTTGGGACATCCCATGAAACTGAAATGTTCCCTGTGCAGAATTTCGAGACTTTGGATGACCCAGGAAGGAGTGTTTTCTCATTGTTCCTTGACCTTCTTCACCCCTTTGTTTCTTCAGTGGAATAAGTGCAGTGTAGCAATCATAACTTTTTCCCTTAATCAAATTCTTACAAAATGGCCAAGTATGCTCATATGATTGAGTTGGAAACATCTCTCAGAATTTCTGTGGCCTCTTTTAGAAAATAATGGAAAAGAGTTGTTATTTTTAAAGCCAGAAGAGGTGCATTGGAAAAAATAACTAGCTGCCTTGTTTAAATAATATGTTGTCCAGTATGGGTTAGGGAATGGTGAGAAGGTAAAATGGAGAGAATGGGAATAGTTGGGCAGCAAACAAAACCCATACCACTTTTTTGAGAAAAGAGTTGGCCTGTTTTTCAGTTTGAAGTTTGGAAGTTTGGAAATACATTTTTTAAAATGTGAATGAACAACACATTTATATCTCTGAATTTACTTTAATTTTTTTCCTGTCTTTTAATTCATGATTGGTTACTCATCTACATACGTGTATATGTGCATTTTCAGATAATTGGTTGGGGTGTAGTGGTAACATCTTAAGTATTAATGAATTATATAAGTAAATCTTTAATCAGATTATATTTTAGTATTTAAAGTAGATTTTCTTGGTAAAATTTTTAGTTAACACTGAATTTTGTGCTCATATTTTGCAGATGTTCTGAAATTAATAAATATAAGCTTTATCCCTGGATCCATCAGTTTAGCAATAACCGGAGGTCAGCTGATCAGATTCGACCCATCTTTTTCCCTGATGTTGATCCCCACAGTCTTCCTCCTGGTTCTAATTTTTCTATGACAGCAGGAGATTTTCAGGAGATCTACTCAGAATGCAGTAAGTCCAAAACAAGCATTTAAAAGTTCTTGTTCTTTATTCTAAATTTAATGAGCTAATTTTATACTAAGCCAAAGTATTGGTCATTCATTTTGATAACAGAATATAAGATATGCTTCAGTGGCAAGTTAGGATATTTTCAAAGGCCTCTATAAGGGAATGATGGGAAATATAAAGAAGTATAAGATCCCACCATTAAGAAATACAGAATCTGTTGGATCTATTAATATAAGACACATGTGAAAAGAGTTCATGAATAATGAATATAATAAAGGGAAAGGAGATCTTTGTAGAGAGAAGGCTGTGACTTCAAGAATAGGGAGACAGGGGCGCCCGGGTGGCTCAGTCAGTTAAGTGTCTGCCTTCAACTCAGACCATTATCCCAGGGTCCTGGGGTCGAGTCCTCCATCAGGCTCCCTGCTCAGCTGAGAGCCTGCTTCTCCCTCTCCCTCTGCTGTTCCCCCTGCTTGTGCACACTCGCTCGCTCTCTTACTCTCTGTCAAATTAATAAATAAAAATCTAAAGAAAAAAGGAAGAGGGAGGCAGAGGTAGGAAAATATAAATGAATAAGGTAATCAGGGATGGTGGGATAGCCTGATTGGAAGGAAAAGAGAGGTTGGTTTGGTAGTTTAATGGGAGATATGGCTAGAAAAGTAGGTTGGTTCCAGATTGTAGAAGACCTTTAAAATCAGGCTATGAAGTTGGGACTTCATCTTGGCAAACTGTTGAAGTTTGAGCTAGCATTAGAGAAAGGGAGATGGTAATGGAGAGATGGGTGGTGGTGGGGGGAGTGGATTAGCTTTAGTAAAAGGAAGAAGAAAAATAGTATCCTAAGAGGTCAGCAAGATCATTCATTCAACAAATTTATTTGAGCACCTGCTAAGTCCCAGGTATGTTCTAGGCATGGGGAAGAGCAGCGAGCAAAGCAAAGTTCCTGGTCACGGAATCTGTGTTCCAATAGGGAGAGAGGGGCAGTAACAAATTTAATATTGTAAGGAAGAATACCAAGGCAGGGTAACAGGAATACAGAGTGACTGGGGAGAGGCTGCCATTTATAGAATTATCAGGGAAGGCTCTCTAAGCAGAACTTTAAAAAAAATGTTGAGCAGAGAACCTCGAAAAAGTGAAGAGGCAAACCATTAGATATTTGGGGGGAAATGTTGCAGACAGAAGCGGTGGCAAGGGAAGAACTATTCAGGGTAGGGAGGATGCTTGTTCTGCTCAACGAAGAGCAAGAAGCCACTTTGGCTGGGGTGTAGTGAGCAGCGGGTGCAGTGGTGGGAGGTCAGGTTGGGGAGGGTTTGGTGAGGCTGACTTTGATTGTACTCAGAGAGGTGGGAAACCATTGGAGGGACTCGAGCAGGGGAGTAACAAGATAGTCAAGTTTTTGTTTATTTTTCCCTGAACTCTGACATTGGGAAAACCTGTATTCTGAAAGTAGAAAGAGAGAGATGGAAAATGTTAGGTGCTGGGGATAGGATAGAGAGAAAGTTCTCAAAAGAGAAGTGACATAATGGAAAACAGTCACTTAGGCGAGTACAGGTGACCTTGTTCTGTAGCAGGGCTTGAGAGAGCAGATGGTGAAGGTCATCCTCGGTGGGATCAGTGCCTTTATGGCACCGAGATTTGTAGAATCCAGCCTCTGTCCCTGGATTGTGCCCTGCCACGACCTCCATGGGGCACTGACAGCCTCGTTCCCCTTTTCCACTGATAATCCGCTGATTATCTGAAGTACTGGTGAACGGTTTAAGTATTTTTATGCCATTTGTTTCTCACTTGGCAACAAGTGCATACAGCCTTTCTGAAACTTGCCAGAATTGGTGGTTAACAGTGGCTTAAATCACGGTTTAAAATTCAAATGACAATTACATCATCTTAAGCAATTTGACATGAAGGCTGGACATTGAGTAGATTATAAACAAAACTCTTACAAGTACCATTTAGTAAAGACACCTAGTTATATAGGCTATCAAAAATGGTTTCCAAAGTGATTATCAAATTATTAGTAAAAACTTCCATGAACTTAGTGAAGCATCTCATAAATGATTGTTTGGTTACCCTAATTACCTTGTTGGTTGGAAGAGTTTAGCTTCTGTATTCCTCCAGTTAAATGAAATATTCGTAATCTGTAAGAGGTAACATTGTAGAAGTAATTAGAAGGAAAGGCAACGTAACATAATGAATGTAGTAATGTGGTTTTCCTCGAATAGATACCTGGGACTGTATTGCTACCTGTTTCTTCATAGACACAGCTCACAATGTTATTGATTATATTGACACAATATGGAAAATACTCAAGCCAGGTGGAATTTGGATAAATCTAGGTAAGTTCCTCAGTGTTTATTAGAGTCTTATACATGAATCTGAGTACTTATAGCTGTCCTCTGTTTGGTAACTTTACGTACCAGATGTTCACAAAGGTGATAGGTTGTATCATTTCCTTTAGACTGTATCCCAGTTAGTGTGGAGTTCATCTCAATGCAGTGGCAGCCCCAAGAGATAACACCTTGTTGGAGTCCGTGGGCGTCAGGATCGGTCTAGTCTTGTTGGGTTATGTCATGTGCTCTTTTTTTAATGATTGGACTTCACCGCAGATTTTGCCATTAGGACTAAGACTAGAGATAGAAATAGATCTTTTCAAACTTCTCTCTAGAATTTCATGGGACAGATGAGAGTGGCTGTAAAATGCAACCATAATACGGAAGTTATCCCAAACCTTAGGTCCTCTTTCAAAGGATTCACTTCTTTAAAGTAAGTTTCCTCAAAAATTTCCCAAGGAATGATTGAAATGTGATACAGTTGACCCTTTAACAGTGTGGGCCTTAGGGATGCTGACTCCTTGCACAATCAAAAATCTGTGTATAACTTTTGACTCCCCAAAAGCTAACTACTGTTAGCCTGCTGTTGACCAGAAGCCTACTGATAACATAAACAATTAGTGTGTATTTTATATACTACATGTATTATATACTGTATTCTTGCAGTAAATTAAGCTAGAGAAAAGAATGTTACTAAGAAAATCATAAGGAAGAGAGAATACATTGACAGTATTGTGCTGTATTTTTATCAACAAAACAAAACGTGTAGAAGCAGACCTGTGTAGTTAGAACCTGTGATGTTCAAGGGTCAACTGCATTACCACTGTGGGTGAGCAAATGCCTTATTGAATCTCAAAACAACCCTATGTTGAGATGGTATTTTTATAGTTGATGAGTCTGAATCTCGCTGTAAGTAACTAGCAGTGGCGTCCCGGAGCTTATATATATGGCAGAGACAGGCTCACAGCTCAGATCCAACCCCTTAAATGCCTAACCAGATAATTCGGCAGGCTCATCCTGGGCCTAACAGTTCGTGTTAATTATGTAATATTTCTGACTCCGATTACTGAGTTGTGGTAAGGTTTCATGTATTTCCAAAGCATTAACTTTCACAGAAAGAACTTTTCTTTTTGAACTTTTATTTTAATTGGTTCATTAATATTTTACTTAGTTATGTAATAACAGTAATTTTAACTGCCCGGAACAAATAAAATTGGCTCTTCATAAGCCTACTGTTTGATAAGAGCAGACATGCTGGGCCGCGCTGTGATCTGTCCCAGGCATGAGGTAATAGGGCACTTGGGTTAGGGGGGAAGGTCAATTAGGAGAGCTTCTACTCTTCATACCGCAGAATTCCAAAACAATTCTGAGCATTGGAATAATGGAGAAGCATAGTCCTTAAAAATAGTTATTTGGAAAGTTAGTACTTCCCAAATAAAATTCTTTACATGTATAAGCTGAAGAATTTAAAAAATGATGATTCTCTTAGACTGGTGAGCTTTGGGTATCTGTTCAGAAGAGTGTTCTTACTCTTCATGCCCTGTGCTCATCCCTTACTCGGTGTGATTCCTACCGTGGCTCCTCCTATTCTTTCATTCCCCAATCTGTATCTCTGGTCCAAATATCTGTCATGGTCCAAGCCACTATGTGCCAACTTGGATACTTCCAAAATCCAAGAAAACCCCTTGTCTTTTCAGATCCATCGTTGACGCAGATTCCCCCAACCAGAAACCTGTGCGTCCTCCTTTCCCCTCTACTTCCTCACCATCTGCACACAGTCAGTCCACAAGGCATGTCTCCTAAAGCTCCTCCGTAGGTCTGGAATTTCCTTCTGTCCCAGGGTTTCTCAGCAGTGGTACCGTTGACATATGGGGCTGGATTGTTCTTCATGCAGAGGGTGTGGAGGGGGAGGGTTGTCCTGCTCACTGTGGAATGGTGAGCGGCATTCCTGGCTTCTGCTTATTCGATTGCAGCAGGACCACCCCAGTTGTGATGACGGAAACGCAAAATCAACCCAGTTGAGAACCATTGTTCCAACCTCATGCTAGTTCCTTAGTTCAGGCCCTCATCACTGCTTGCCTGGATTACTGCAACAGTTCCATTGGGGTAGCCCCACCTTCAAGTTGTCTCCAACCCTTTGTGCCTCTTTTAGTCCTCTGTATGTTACCACCAGAATGATCCTCCTAACACATGAATCTATTCCTGTCATACTCCCTACATAAAGTTCTAGCTTTCTAGATACCCGAAACGCTCCAGGGTTGGGCTTAGTGCCCTTTGTGATCTTTGTGTCTTAGCTTCGTTATTTCTGTTTTGTCACTGCCCCGGCCCTGACTGCAGATGCCCTTTCTCTTTTCCCTCTCTTCTCATGTTGGCTTTTTCCTGGGTGCTCTTAACACTCAGCTAAGGTGATCCTTTCAGGCTGGAATAAATGTTTGTTGTATTCCTCTTTTATATTCTCACAGAATCCGTGAGCATTTAACACAACATGGTGTTGCCACCCATATGTTTTTGCTTTCTCTAGTAGTCTCTGAGCTCAGTGAGGGCTGGAAGCTAATACTCGCTCTTTACCTCCTGCAGAGCCTGATGACCAGTGGCTCTTCATTAACTTCTGTGTATGAGTGTATTGTTTCAAAATTTGAAGGCAGAAGCAAAGTAATGTTAAGATGCCACAGAAGACTGGCTGCCAGGAGACAGGACAAAGTGGCATTTCTTTAGTAAATTGGTAACATTCCCATGGTTTTGGCGTCAGTCAGATGGGCCTGGAAAAATAATTTTATCTGTAAACTGAGAGTGCATCAGCCCCTGGGGGACGATTTCACCCTAACCATGCTGACACAAGACCTTAACGTCACTATATTCCTAGAGAGTGAGAACGGTCCCTGCTAGCCATATGGAATACTGAAAAGCTACATTGGAAGTTAAATTATAGTGAAGATATTGTCTACATTCTATGAAATCACAAGTGGGAATATTGTTAATTTAAAAACCTCTTTAAGGGGGATCTGAAGTACTCTAATATTCCTCAGGTTAGGGAAAGCTAGTGAGAGTGAGCTTTTTAAGGTAACTGTTTGCCTGTGTCCTTTGGGAAGGGCTATGATTTAGCAAAATGTAGAAAAGTGCCTGTGCATCCTGTTCTTCAGTTTTTCGTGGTGACCCTTAAACCCATGTATGTGTAATTTATTGTACAGCCTGTGTGTGGGTGTGCATATGCATGCACTGATGCGTTTATAGTCCAGTAGTGGAGGGCAGGCAATTAGCAGACGGAATCTAACTTCATCTGGAAGAATAAACAGGTTAAAGTACTAAAAAGAAAGACCCGCCGTTTTTTCCTTCCTATGTGAGAAAAAACCCAGTTCTTCTCTGTGTGTCTCCTTTATTCCTCATATAATAAAACACTCAGACGTCTGACACGTCTAGTCACCAAATGGGGGTTTTTTCCTCTACAAGCGATTCTCTGTGATACCAGCTGGGTGCCCTACACTTTTAACTCCTGATACTGTCTACCTGGAGATACTGTGAGATACCCCAGGTGAAGGGTTCAGTCTCACAGGACCCTCTCCCTCCACTCTCACAACTTCAGACGCTAGCCACAAACTGTCACCTGTGCTTCTGACCAACTGTAGATCTATAGGCTGCAGATTGGAGGTTCCAACAACCCCCTCTTTGGGTTTGATTGCTACAGTGGCTCATGGAACTTAGGGAAACACATAGGTTGACCATTTTATTAAAGGATATGAAGGATCCAGATGAACATCCAGATGGAAGAGATGCGTAGGGCAGAGGATCTGGGAAGGGGTATGGAGCTTCCATGCTCTGTCCTGGTGTTGCCACTGTCCCAGCACCTCCACATGTTCATCCCAGTAGCTCTCTAGAACTCCGTGCTTTTGGGATTTTATGGAGGCTTCATCATGTAGGCATGATCAGTCATTCCATTTTAGCCCTTCTCCCTTTCTTAAGAGAATAGTGGGGCAAGGCTGAAAATCCAAGCTTCTAACCATGGGTTGGTCTCTTTGGTGACTAGGCCTCATCCAGTAGCTGTCCAGGAGCCCCGTGTCAGGGACCAGAGTCAGAGGCCTAATATTTGAACAAAAGATGTCCTAGTGTTCTTATCACTTAGGAAATTACAAGGGTTTCAGGAGCCCGGTGCCAGAGACCAGTGTGTATATTTTCTGTCATCTCACAAGTACCAAAGGAGAGCTTTATAAAGTGTAATGAGTCCTAACAAGTTTTCAAGCATTCTAAAGTTGGATATTTTCTGAAGCATGAGAGGTTTCCTGTAAAAGGTAGATAAGGGACACATTACCTCCTTTACACACTGAGACCTTGTTACAGTGGTTGTAAAAATAGAAAAAGGGTCTAAAACAATGTCAGAGAATGGCAGGGAGGTCATCAGGAGACAGCAAAATGTGACATTTTTTCAGATGGGGTAGCTGGGTGAGTTTTGCAAAAAAACCCAGTGTGAACAGAGTTGGTTGAGCTGCAGTAACCCTGGAAAATTCCTGGCTCTATGGAGGACCTGGGATAATTCTGGAATATGAGTGACTATATGCGGAAGAACAGAAGTTGAAGATCTTGCCCCCTATGTAACCAAGTAACCAAGATGCCTACCTTATGCCTGTTCCAGTCCATGCTCAGACAAAGACCAGAAGTTTAATTTACTGGAAAAAGTGAATGGGAAAGAATACAATTTATGAAGACATGACCTAGTAGACAGTGAGGGTGAGATGTAGGACAGAAAAGAAGGAGATTGGAAAATGAGCGGGCGGTGACCACACACCCCCCCCCGACCTGAACTCACAAGAGCTCCCTACCCAGCCATAGAACTTTTTGCTGAGGTTTGAGTGCCAGCTCGTTTGTTTTGAACAATTGTAAGCCATGTTTCTTTAAGTGGGCATTTCAAGACAGCTACCACAAGCTTTCTTCTAGTTAATGTGTATCTTTTTCTTTATCTTAAATCCTTTCTATATCTTTGTTTTAGATGTGTCTTAAAAACAGCATAGTTACCTTTTGTTATCCAATATAACAGTCTCTCTTAACTGGAATTTTTAGAACCTTAAGGAGATAAATAGTTTAAATTAACTTGTCCCAGATTTGGCATGTGGGACCTCCTTCTGTGTCTGTTTGACATGTCCCTGTCCCTGTTTGAGTGCCTCCTTTCTGGCACCACCAGTGCTCCAAGCTCTCGTACTCTCTCTGTCAGGCCCTGAAAGCAGCCATTCTCCCCCACCCCCCAGGGATCCCTGGTTCTTTTTGTTTGTTTGTTTTTTAAAGATTTTACTTATTTATTTGACAGAGACACAGCAAGAGAGGGAGCACAAGCAGGGCGAGTGGGAGAGGGAGAAGCAGGCTTCCTGCCGAGCAGGGAGCCTGATGTGGGGCTCGATCCCAGGACCCTGGGATCATGACCTGAGCCGAAGGCAGATGCTTAACGACTGAGCCACCCAGGCGCCCCCCCTGGTTCTTTTTAATAGAGAATGGTATGTAGAAATATTAGATTGATTATACCTGTAGAAGGCTAAAATATACACAGAGATATTTGTCAAAGAACCATCTGTAATAGACTGTAAAAAATACACAACTGTAATGGTTATATTTGGGTGGTAAAATTACAGATGCATAACTCTACACTGCGATGCTGGGCATTATGGTGGACTCACAAGAAACTGAAGATGTGTTCCTTTACTCATGTAGCTTGTAATCTGGTTAAAAGTGCAGATTACATGAAAAATAATTAGCAATGCCATACTACATTACATGAATTTTAAAGTAGGCTATATTAAGAGAGTGAGCAGTAGGGCTGGGAACTTGGGTGGATTATATTAAAACTTCATTTCAGGGACGCCTGGGTCAGTCATTGGGCATCTGCCTTCGGCTCAGGTCATGATCTCAGGGTCTTGGGATCGAGCCCCGCATCAGGCTCCTTGCTCTGCAGGGAGCCTGCTTCTCCCTGTCCCTCTGCCCCTGCTTGTGTACCCTGTCTGTCTCTCTGTTAAATCAATAAAATTTTTTAAAAAACATTTTTTTTAAACTTGATTTCAGCAAGGTTTTGGAGCATGGCTAAAGCTTGAGTTGGGGAGTTGGAGCCTTCTAGGTGGAACACAACATGAGTAGAGGTACAATATGACCATAGTGTGTAAGAATCATTGGAGTATTTAGACATAATAAGACAATAATGCTGGAGGCTCTTAAAATAATGGAGCAGGAACATCATACACTTTAGAGCTGGGCAGACTGCTATGAGGCTCTTCATGTTTATAACAAGGCTTCAAAGGCCTCGGGATGGTCTAGGACACAGCAGTGCTCAATAAATGGTAGCTACTGTCACTTTTAGTAGTACTAATAAAACAGGAAGTTAAGCTTGGCAGAATAGTTTGATGATGAACCATTGTTTTCTTCTGAAAAGAGTACTAAAGTATATATTCATAGTCATTTTTCCTAGTGGTTTATGTAGGGTAAAAAAGAGGAGAGGAAGAAGAATGTTTTAACTCTTAGTATGTTGCACAGAGTGATGAGCCTTTTGGGAGGACGAACTGTCCTGTTGTTACTCTCATTTCCTGTGATTAGCACATTGTATGAGGGGTAGGAGTGGTGAGATGGGCACCGGATCTGTAGTTAACCCAATGAAAGGTAAAGAGAAGATTGTTTAGATTAGTCCTGAAGTAACTATTGAATGATAGTGTTGCCTGGGTGAGGCTGATGATGGATTGGGCAGAATGTGAGCAATTGAAAGATTGGAGACTCTGGTTTGAGTCAGATGATAGTTCCTTGGATACGTGGAATGAGAGAATAGTAAAGGGGGAATGTCATTTAAAAAGTTGTGATTGCTATCATGTACTGAATGCCTTCTCTATGCCAGGTGTATAGGATGTTACCTCACACAGAAGTCATATTAGATGGAGCAGAGCTAGTGACTTGCCCACAGGCACACCATTAGTAAGTGTTAGAGCTGGGATGTGAGTTGTGCCCTTAAAAAGCCAGCTCTGGTGTCACGTCTTCCTTCCAGGAAGCCTTGCCTCTAACTTCCCACCATCCCCAGACACTCTCTTAGACCTAGGCTAGCTTGAGGGCCCTTCTGTTTTCATATGATACCCAGTTTGTAGCTGCAGCTGTGCCTTTACTTAAGGAATTATAATTACAGTACACCTTTGGAATTTAGGGACTTCGCATTCTCTGATCCAGTTGCTCCTTCAGTAACTTAAGAGTTCCAGGTGTAAGGCGCCTATGTGGAGAATCACAGTGCGACCCTGGTGCACCAGAGGGACTCCCTCCCCACGAGTGTGGGCCCAGCACTTGAATGGGCCAGAGTTTCAGGGGTCTGGACACATGCCCTTGGCAAATGTAAAGGTTCTCTTCTTCCTTTTATGTTTGTTTCTTATACTACCTATCTTATGATTCAACTTGAAGTTCTAACACAGCAACTAGTGCATGTTTATATTTAAGTAATACATTCATAATATCTTTAAACCGTAGGTCCTCTGCTGTACCACTTTGAAAATTTGGCAAATGAACTTTCCATAGAATTGAGCTATGAAGATATAAAAAATGTCGTTCTGCAGTATGGATTCCAGGTGGAGGTGAGGATGGAATCAAGTTTCACTCCCAATGCTCTTAGACAGGAATGGGACTATTATGACAGTTCCTGGCTTTACCTCTTAATCTCTTTGTTTTCTCATCCATAAAGTGAAAATACTTAGCTTTTAGAATTATTAGAATTTGGCATAATGTGTAAGTAAATGGAAAACTATAATCCCTGGTGTCATCAGTCGGCTTTCAGTACGTGGCAGCTTACCGGTATAGGTACCAAGCCGACTAGCGTCTGGAAGAGCAGATGAAGGGGGGAGGGCAGTGATACTGTTCACTGTGTGTACTTCTGTAGTGTTCAGTCTTTTTTATCATGTGATTATAAGGTTTTATGATACTTTGACTTGTTTTAGTTGTGTGTTTATTTAAAACCATTTCATTCATTAAAAAAATTAAACAAGATTTGTTCTTAAAAATGAAGAGAAGCAATATATCGGAGTCATGTAGAGCTCCAACTCTTATTAGTGGTGTGACCATGAGCAATCTGTCCTTTGTAAAGTGCAATTACTAATAATGCCAATCTTAGGGGGGTATTTGTATGTAATAAATGAATTAATAAACAGAGTATGTTTAAAATAGTACACTGTACTAAACCAGTACTCTGTGTTATCATGGTCATCATCATCATCATGATTATTGTTTGCATTCCAGGTGGAAAAAGAATCTGTCTTGTCAACATATACTGTGAATGATCTCTCCATGATGAAATACTACTACGAATGTGTCTTGTTTGTGGTCCGTAAACCACAGTAACGTTCTCAAGTGGTATCAGCAGAAAATGTTTGATAAGAGCAAATGCTGAAATAAACAACTCAAAATCAACTATCCCAATGACAGGACACAACCTCAAATCAGTGGTGCCTTCTTATTCCTAACAAAATTTAGAAATAGCGTCTATTTTCTTAATACGTCTATTGCTTTTTCAGAAATATACTATGCCATGCATATTTGTACTACAGAAGTAAAAATGGAGGAAATATCTTCAAGTATACTTTTTCCTTGAAGCCCAGAATTGTCTTTCAGTAGAAAAAACTTTATCTCCAGTGGTCTTCATGAAGCTGTCTGTTGCAAGTCTGCCATATTAATGACTACTAGTATTGAAGTCCCCCAAATCTCTTTGTTTTGTGTGCATTGCACAGGTTATTTTTAAAAGAGTCTGAGGATCCTCTGTCACATTCAGCATCTGGAATTGGGACTTTTGTTTGTGTTGGACCTAAGCAATCCATACATAGAATGTGTGTCTGTCCTTTTATCATTCAGATTATTTTTTTCTAGCTCAGCTGAACTTAGAGAAGCATCAACCATTTCATTTTTATGAAATGCTGAATTTAATAAGATCACAGGCCAGTAAAATGCATTCAGGCATTCAAGTAACTGAGAAATTAGTCTTTTGGGCACACTAAACTGAACATTATTTGAAAGCATACTCATCATGAATCACTCTGAAATGTATGAGATCTCAGCACTCTTAAGTGAGGCACAAAAGCCTTTATTCAAGGTACTGCTCGGAAAATGGAGAAATGAGAATAAAATCTCCCATTTGAAATGTATGATTTTAAACTAGAAGTGAATACAGTCTGTCAGTGGATGTTTACAATAGTGTCTTTTCTTTAAATTACCTGGATCACAAAAGCAAGCACCTTTTTTTTTTTTCAGTTAAACTGTCATGATGGTATTACCGTGGGGAAATTCTGAATATGAAATTCAGGGATAAATTACTGCCCATGGTCTGTGTCTTCAATATTGTAAGAAGCAGCCGTTCATGTGATTTCAGATTAACACCAATTTTGTTCCCTGATAGCTGGAGTTAAAACAGTATCTGCTGCTTTAAATTTCTACCTCTAGCAGATCTTTTCTATTGGATGGAGTTTTCCTTTGTATTTTTTTTATGTTTATTATTTTGTTTCCAGTAGCTTGGAAAGCAGAGATGACTAATTTAATGTTTTAACCTTTTTAGGTTAAAACATTAAGGGAAAAGGAAGTACTCTTGTTGGATATTTTCACAGGTGATTATGATGGCATTAAATGACCTCTGTGGCAATTTGAATCAGATAGACTTAATTTCAATAATGTGCTGTAGGATTAATGTCATGTTCTAGTAGGAAAACTTACTTGTGAATCTTTAGGCCTTTTTTGTTAGTTAGGTTGGGGGAGTCTGCGCAGTTTGGCATCTTACTAGTAGGAGCTTTTCTGTGGACAGTAAGGAGCTCTCGTGGCCTTTGGTCCTGTTATGCCGTAAAGGGCTCTATGAAGATTATTTGACTTGCTAAATTGTGGAAGCCTGTAGCCTCTTGAGTTAAAAAAAAAAACCCAAAAACGATTTCTTTTTTGTCTCCCCCCTCCCATACTTGACAGATGTTCAGTTATTAGAATTCTCATTAACTACCACATGAATGAATTTTAAATTAATTGGTGGGGGGAAAAAATCCAAATTTGGTTTTAAGGAAAAAAAGCTTAAAAGGATCCTAAGTATTTAAAAAATCCGTTGAAAGGAAAGGAATGCATGCTGTTTTTGGGTACTGTAGAAAGGCTTTTTATTCACTGACTGGGGTATTCACTTTTTTACTTGTATCAGAACAAATGATCTTGTTTTTCTCAGAGGCAAAAATATGTTGACAGCCGGGAGTTGGCTTTATTACTTAAAATTTTGGCTATCAGGTTTTATTCTTTAATAATGTTACTTATATTTCTAAATTATAGCTTACGTTTTAGTTAATTCTGAAATCACTTATTTCATTTGTTTTTAATTTCTCATATCATGACTACTGTTTTTCAAATATTCTACACAAATTTGCATCACTTTTTTTCTCATTGCTTTTGTAATGTATTCTAAACTTGAAAATTGTGGTATCAATCAATAATAGAAATGTCACTGGAGGATTTAATTTTATATTTCTTATGTGTAGTCCTAGCTACTAAAGTATGTAAGCCTTAAAAATTTTTGTTCTTTTTCCTTATATTAGCTTTATATACAAATGTTTTCATTCATTTTCATAAAGCAGGAGGAGACAGGTCATTGTGCTTGCTTCCCTCCTTCCCCCCAAGCCCCCCCATATTCTGAAGCGGTGCAGGTTAGGGTATTTTAATCAAGTGAGCAAGATGGGAAATGTAAAATATAGAGAAGCTGTATAAATCACAGTATAAAATTATGAAGTTTGGGAACTGTAAAATGTACTGTATTTATATGTAATTCTCATTCTAAAAGTTGCCACAAAGGCTGAATTGGAAGCTTCATGTCTGCATGAAATTTCCTATATTTTTAATGTGTATGATGGACTTAATTTTTCTTGAATATTAAAGTCTGCCAATTGCTACGAAACAGTATTTGCTTGGTTGTTTCCATCTAAGTTAGTAGTAACTATAGATGTGGGAATTTGAATTAATGGAACACATACTTTTTAATCCTTAGATGAGCTTATTCTTATATGCTTCTAGAAAGTAATAATACTTGGTCTTTGAGTATGTTAAGCTTGATACTAATTAATCTTGATCTTTGCTTTTGTTAAATAATAGAAAAATACCTATAAAGAACACAAGTACAAGAGTTCCAGGACCAGCCATTAGTATAGCACAAGCACTGCACTTGGCACTTAGATACTCTGGGTGTGTTTCCCTGAACTGTTGTTTGTGGTATCAGGCAAGATGATCTGAGTGTGTTTCCTCGTCTGTAAGAGGATTGATACCACTTACTTCAAAGGGTTATATGAGGTCCTGTGCTACTCTGTGCAGTATTGTATGTGAAAGCACCTAGTAGACTTGTAATTTCAATCTCTGTTGACCACTGTATAGTGATAGAAAAAGATGAAGATGAGTCACAGGACATTAGTTTTAATGTTATGGTGAAAAAAACGTTTCAGTGGAATCCTGGGGAGATTCAAAGATGACAGGTATGTATGTATAGATTCTTGAATATTAAAGTTTGGTGGGAATGGTAGAGAAATAAAATGGTAGGTAATAGGAGAGAAGGCACAAGCAAAACTTCATGGAGGGTTACTCCACTTTTAGAAACATGCTAGTAACGTGCCTCTTATATGTTGGATTATTTCTGTTCAGTATAGATACATAGAATCATTCAGCCAGTGTGTATGTGCATTTTCAGTCAAGTTGCCTTTGAGAATGATGAACATTTTACAAGTCACTGACAGCGTTTTGGAATAACTTTGCATCCATTCTCTGGTCCATACTGCATTTTGCTAAACTTGTCATTTTTGTCAATATGACAGGAAAAAGTATCTAATTGTAATACTCATTTAACTGTTATGGAAGTTGAGCAGTTTATTAAGTCTAATGCCCGGAGAGAGGTATCTTTAATCCACCAGCCTATAGGTGTTGAGCTGGTATACCAAACAAGCCATTGGCAACCATCCAAAAGTCAGTAAAAATGTATCGAACTTCGTCAAGGGGAGGACTGGCCAGTCATAAGCACTGCTTTGAGTTCTAGCCACGGACAGGAAGGACAGGAAGGACCGTATCTGCTTCTGGTTTTACCCGGCTGGCATGGAGGCTGACCGCCCACAGCCCATTGGACCCCACTAGGTTTCAAGTTAGCCAACCAGGGATCTAGACCCGGGACTTCAGGTAACATCTGTGAGTCAAGAGCCCCACCAAACCAGCGGCTTTGCTTTAGGTGGCAGAGCGGGGCATAAAGTTTGCCCCCAAAGGAATGGCTGCCATTTTATCATAGTACCAAAAGCTGCTAGGGCCAGGCCAGCTACACCCTTGAATATGCTATTTGTTTTGACTTGGGAGGCTTGTTGGGTCCTTTTCACCTTGTTAGTCATCAAGTCCAAACTGACCCACCTCCAAATGAGAATGTCAAACCAAAGAGGCATTCAGTCTCAAAGCTTAGTAGCAGACTAATAACCTCCTCCTCTTGTACAAAGGTGTCTTTGGTGATTGTCAGGCAATTGATTCTATTATAGTACCTGGCTATGGCCTGTGAGAATTTAGGCAGCCATTAAGTCTTTGAAGCTGTGGTTTCTCTCTCCTGGAGTTCAGTATTATTTCTGCTGGGCCACCCAGGAAGGGACAGTCCTTGAATGTGAACTTAATTGGAAGGAAAAGTTCAGGTAAATAATAGATCCATGATACATGTACTGAATTGGCCCAAAGGGCCTCAGTGAGAGGTTATTTTTGAGGTGTCTGACTCCTTGGTAAAAAAGCAAAACCCAAAACTGTGTGATTTTTTTTTTTTTTTCAGGCCTGAACATAGGTAATTACAAAGGCTTTACCTGGCAGGTTCACGGAACAAAGCTGGCCTCCCTGGACCAGACTTGCTGCACTGCAGTCTCTAGTGAGACTTGCAGTCCACAACTCAGGCTCTTATTCACAGCTTCAGTCCTAGCCCAGTGCCTCTGTGTCAGGGGCTTTGGGAGAAGCCTTCCTTAGGTGCCTCTGCTGAGACCTGCTTCTAGGAGGAGGGAAAGGGGTAAACTTTAAGACCCATTTCTACACTCTGACTCAGTACTCTTCCCACTCTTAGGCCCTCCTCCTCTTTCACCCCACTCCCCGGGTCTGCAAGCTTGCGAAGAGCCTGTCTGGACTTCCATTAGCAATGAGACCACTGCCATGTCTGTGCAGACCCAGCTGATGCCTGACTGGTGTGCTGTTCCATGGGAGAAAATGGGAGCAGGGAGCTACCTATGGTTTGTCTGGTTTAGCCTCTTGCTTATACTGTTGAAGGGATCAGAGGTTTGACTGTTACTTTCATTTTGGCTTCTTGTATTTACCTGCTATTCCAGCACTTAGCAACTCAGCTCGCCCTGGCTCAGATGAGGCGTTAACAG